TGGCCAAAAAAAAAGTTTTTAAATGCAGAAAAATTAAGCATATTTAAAGAAAAAGAGAATATTTCTGGTAAATGATTCCATTTAACAGTATGTCCTTATATTAAGTTTGACTACTGGCAGCATACAAATATAGACATAAATAATAATTTCCATCAACTTCTACAATAAAAACAAAAACCTGGGTCAAAAAAAAGCAGAAATTTCACGTCCCTACCTAAGATCCATTCAGTACTATTAGTCTGATATTAACAGAAAATGGGATAAGAAGTATTTGTACTGTCAGAAGAAGAATTAAAGGAAATCCACGGTCCCATCACACTAAAGCTCATTTCTATCATATAAAGTAACAACTACTTCAAATTTCTATTTTCAGAAAACATAGATAATAACAGCAGAAATAGATTTTACTCACAATTTGGACATTAAGTAGTCTAAGCATCCTCCACTACTTTCACAACTTGGCAGGAGCTAAAATCTGAACCAGCAGTTCTTTGGAACTACTAGTGGGGGAGGAAAAAGACAGTATTAATATAATCCTATTTGAAAATATTCTGCCCAGAGAGTAAGTATAATTCAGATAAATGCACTTATTATAATAAACCATATGCAAAGCCTAATGATACACATCTACATAATGAACACAATGAAGAAATTTCTAGGTTATTGAGGAATCAGAAGTTTTTAATAAAACTTTACATGTCAAGTCACCACTAAATAAGGACAAACAACATTCATTGCCTATGCCCAGTATGATAAGCTACATTTCAATTAACCAACAGGTGTTTAATAAATGGCTGCAAATATAATCTCTCTTCCCCGGTAATACAAAATCAAGTTTAAAAAAGACTACTAACGCAAAACTTACTATAGAAAACAACATTAATGATATTATTGCCTATTAAGTCACCTTTCTGCTCCCTCACCCCAAACTTAGCATCCATATACATCTAAACATCTCAAACCGTTTCTACTTCCAATCCACTGCCGTCAAGTCGATTCTGACAAGGTTCCTCAAATACCCCTTTCCTCTTTCAAACACTGATTTATTGACCTATGTACCTGATCTTGGATCCCTAGTGGCACAGTGGTTAAGAGCTATGGCTGCTAACCAAAAAGTTGGCAGTTCGAATTTACCAGGCGCTCCTTGGAAACCCTATGGGTCAGCTCTACTCTGTCCTGCAGGGTCGCTATGAGTGAGAATTGGCTCTATGGCATTGGGTTTGGTTTTTGGTTAGGTACTGGATCTTATGCCTTGCTTCATCAATTACTCTCTCCTTATCCTTAACCTTCTCTCCCCTAACAATGGCTCCTTTCCCTCAGCATATAAATATTTTTAAGATTACCTCATCTTAAAAATGAAAAAGTCTTCCATTATCCAGCATACCTCTCCAGCTAGAAAAAAATCTTCTGTACTCCGTCTCCACATCCTAATTTCTCAGGTACTTCTTCTATGGAAGTCTGGCATCCATCCATTCAACTGAAATTTTTACTAAATTCCAATTATCAATTCCCTACTTGAAACATTATACTCTGTTTCATTGATCATTGAATGTTGATCACTCCCTCCTTGCAACTCTCTGCCAGATTTACTTCCTCTCTCTCTAGCTAAAACAGACAAAACCAAACCCCCTGCTGTTGAGTCAATTCCAACTCATAGC